AGCCTTGGGCACCTAGGAGTGACAGGTGACACTCAAATGGGCCTTCTTCACAGTCCTGTACACTCTGAGCCTTACTTTGCATCATTTTCCCTTTTATCAGTTACATCATTCCTTTTGACCTAGCAAACTTCCTTGTAGGAATTATCCTTTCGCTATACTTAAAAAGAGTTTTGACGAGCTACGCGGACAACGAATTTCATTCAATATTATATAAATCATATAAAACACTGGAAAGAGCCAATGGGTTCATCAGTAAAGTTAAATACATTAAGATGCATTCATATCATGGGATACAATACAGCCATGAAAAATAATGAAGCCTTATTAGGTTTTAAAAATCAATGTAGAGTTCTGATTTATTCATTCATCTAACAAATATTTATTGAGCACCTAATACATTCCAGACACTGTTCTATGAACATGAATACATGTGTGAAAACAGGATTCCTGCTTCCACAGAACTCACATTTTAGCTATTCAGGAAATATTATAAACTTCATTATCTGAACAAGCACTGCTCCCAGCATAAATACCTACAATGTTGGATGAGAATACAATAAACACAGTCCCAAATACGTATTTTAAAGGGTAGGCCTCTGGCGCCTCTCTGATTCTGGAGCCTTTGTGTTTTCTCCTTCTAGAAATTTATAGGATTACTTCTTTGTTCCTAATGTTACGAAACTTCCCAGTGACTTGCCATGATGTTACTCTATTCAAAACCATTGTGCTGGGTATGGATGAGCTCTTTCAGTCTAGAAAACCATGTCCTTCTGTTCTTAAAAAATTTTTTGAATTTTTTTCCTTGATAATTTCAACTCATCTATTTTCTTTGTTCTGAAACTCCTATTATTAAGAGTCTTCACACTTTAATTTTCTAAGAGCACCTTCATGTTCTTAAATGTTCCTTTTCCCAGCACCCATTCTTGTTTTATGGATATAATATCTTCATTTATCTCTTCCAAGGATTTCAATAACATTTTTTAGAGTTCTTTCCAACTTTTATGACTTGTGTCTGTTTCTTCCATTTTCATTTTTATTTTAGTCTTTCTTTCATAGGCTTTGCTCAAATATCTGTGCATAACTGCCTGTCTACTCATATATATATATATTTTGAAACAGAGTCTCACTGTTTCTCTGGCTAGAGTGCCGTGGCATCAGCTTAGCTCACGGTAACCTCAAACTCCTGGGCTCAAGAGATCCTTCTGCCTCAGCCTCCCAAGTAGCTGGGACTACAAGCATGTGCCACCATGCCCAGCTAATTTTTTTCTGTATATTTTTAGTTGGCTTATTAATTTCTTTCTATATTTTTTAATAGAGACAGGGTCTTGCTCTTGGTCAGGCTGGTTTCGAACTCCTGACCTTGAGCAATCCACACGCCTTGGCCTCCCAGAGTGCTCGGATTACAGGCGTGAGCCACCGCATCGGCCTGTCTACTCATATTTAAGAACAGGTTATTATGAAGTAACCTAAAAATATGACTGGAAGTTTTATGCTTGTGTGGGATGATCTGACTGTATAATTCTGTTGGGGGCTCACCTCTTGGACAGATTTATTTTCTTTTAGGCTGTTCAACCTCTCCAGAGAAGACTCTCCCAGACTCCTGCCTGGAGGGTATAAGCTTGGCCACTGAGGTTCTCAGAACCAAGGGGGGAAATGGACTAGGATATCCTTGTTCAGTATGTAGACTTTGCATTAACTCTCTTGAATGCAGTACAGTATCCCTGTCCTCAGCTGTGCCTTCTAGCCCCCAGTCAAAAGACTCTCAGGTGTAGCCTCTCTAGAGGATAAACCTCGTCTTCAAGGGTGGGAAATGAGGAGGAGCATTAACTTCTGCTATACAGACTTTCAAACAATAATCTTGCTTTTAGCATCATATTCACCCACTTTCAGGGTTACATGGTGCCTCAGATTTCTAAGTCGCTCAGGGTTCTGCATATGAATTAACTTGATTATGAGTTTCTCCACTGCTGGCTTAGGTTTCAGCGTTCTGATTGCTAAATCAGTTACTTCTCATCCATTTGCTCTCCACCTTCCAAAACTCTGGTGCTGTCATCCTCTCTCCTGTTTTTTCTTTCTTGTTTTTCCCTTTTCTGCCACATTTAACTGGAAGTTGTGGCTTAGTTTTTAATGTCCCCGTGGGAACAGAAAACAAGACCTTGGGTCAAAGAAACACTGGAATTGAAACTGAGATTCCCCCATATAAAGCCAGAGCTTTCAAAGGAATGTAACATCAGTGAAAGAGTAGATGAGAAAAAAAATCCACTGACTGGCAGAGAAAAGTGACAAGGAACCTTTTTACCTTGACTCTGAGTAGTAAAAAGAACTCTCTTTTAAGAATTTATAGGCAGGGACAATGTCACCCAGTTGAATTAATACTATTAGGGAATATCTAAGCCAAGAAACGGACATAAAAATTGGTCTTGGATATATGGTACTTCTAGAGTGTCTGATCCTAAGTACATGATGTTTTCTAGAATGCCTGGCTTTGCAGAAGCAAATGGAAAACTCCTTTAAAGATGTATACCCTGAATACAGGCCTGCAGAGAGGCCCATAGCTAACACTAAGTGATGATAACCTCAAAATTCACAATTATGAAGCACAAAGGAAACAATCTTTTAAGTGAGGATCAGCAGACACACAAAAAGATTAGATTCTCAAAATCTTTGTAAACACAACAATTGATGAACACTACTGAATAAGCATATATTAAAAGTATTTAAGACATAAAAGAGATTTAAAAGCATAAATAACAAGATATTATGAAAGAACAGGAATCTTTGAAAAGGAGTTAAATGTAATCTCTAAAAATGAGAAATTAAGTCATTGAAAGTAAAAATAGTTCAATATCAGATTAGACATATCTAACGAGAGAATATGCAGACTAGAAGGTATATCCAGAATGCAGCACAGCTAAAAGTATGAGAAAAGGACAAAGATTAATAGTCATAAGAATAGAAAAGGAAATCAAACATAGAAGTTGCAGAAGGAGAAAATACAGTGAAAGGTATTACCTTTCATTATTTGAAGAAAAAATGGCTTTGAAGTTACTTGACCCTAGTCCACAAGGCAAAATGATCAAACACTGAAGAATCTATATCAGCCAGGTCCTGTGCTCTGCCCACAATACAATACAATGAGAAATCAATAACAAAGGATAATACAGGATTTGGAAATTCAAAAACATACTATATACATCAAAGAGGAAATTATAATAAAATTAGAAAATATTTATAAATGAATAATAAAAACGCTACATACCAAAATTTGTGGAATGCAGTTTAAAAAGTATATAATGGGATACGTATTGACTTAATAAATCTGTGGCTCTTAAGTTTGCTCTGCAGGCGAGCAAATGACCTGACAACTTGATAGAAATGCAAATTTCAGGTTCTACCCAAGACTCACTGAATCAGAAGTTCTGAGAGTAGAGTCTAGAAATCTGTGTTTTAACAAGATCTGATGCATGCTAAAGTTTGAACACCACTGCCTTAGATGTACATGTTGAGAAAAAGAGAAGAATTCATAACCCAAACATCCAACTCAAGAATGTAGAAAAAGCTAAAGAAATGTATATACTCAATGACATTTTAAAATAAAAATTATGTAATAAATTTAAAGAAAGAACATTAAAATCAATCCAAAAGTAACAGAAGGAAGAGAATTATAGTGTTAAGAATAGAAATTTCCTTTACAATTTATTTTAATGGCTTAAATTTTATGCTTGTACCCCTCCAGAGATGTTGTCTTTGCTTCTAGGCTGAGACAATCCCAGTTTTCCTCTAGGTTGACTCTGACTAGTGAGTGGATTGGGATAAGGAAGTTGGGCAAAAAAGAAAGTAATACATAGAATATTTCAAGATATCTCATTATAGATATCTGTGCAGATATGTGCATACTTTTTTCTGGATGGAACCACGAGAAAGTGTTAAAAATGATTTTCTATGGGGAGAAGAAGGACTTGGGTGAGAAGAATGGGTAGTTTTCAATTTTCCTTTTTTGAAACATTCCCTTTGAGTTTGAATTTCTGTTTTTATACATATATACACAGTTTTATACAAATACATTTATTACTTTTAATTTTAAAAGTGATAATATGGCTTAATTGAGCTGTTAGGTTTACAGCTCAAAAGGATTACTTAATTCCTTTTTTTTTAAAAAAAAAAAAACCTGGTTAATCTGAAAGGATTGTTTTAAAAAAACATAATCATAAACATATTCCAAACCTGGTCTGGGTAAGAACTTTTTTCCCCCTCTGTGTGTAATTCACAACTTCCTTCTGGGAATAAATTAACACAACTGATAACACGTGTAAGCAATTTTCTGACAAACTTTAAAGAGACTTGTTCTAAGAAGCCCAGTCACCCAACTGTCAGTCAAGAGTCTAATTACTTCTAACTAAACATAATTTTATTTGGTATCTACTCTAACAATGATTATCTATTTCTATAAAATGTCCCTATCAAGAGTAAATCTTTGAATTGGCCTGATAGACTCGTTTTCCTTTGCAGCAAGGTTTGTAATAAATTTTAGTAAGTGGTCATAACTAAGTTGTTTGAAAACATTTAAAACACGTTTTAAGCCTTCAAAAACCCAGATAATGTTCACTTCTGTTATTAGTATAAGGGATAGGGCATGATAGATGACAAGACCCATAGAACTACAGGAATAGAACGTCATTCATTCATTCTTTGACAAGTATTTGAATGCTCACCATACGCCAAACTTGGACAAGTACTTGCGTGTCTACCACGTGCCAGACACTGTCCACGGAGCTGGGGAGACAAAAATGATCCAATGAGATTGGAGGGATTAAACTACAGTTCCCACAGTATATTGCTCTTCAGCCTTTTTTCACGGGGGCGCTTCTTTCCAGTAGTCTCTTCCCATGATTCTAGTTGTGCGGAAAGCCCCGCCCACTGAGCTGCCATTTACTCAGTCTCCGGGTAGGAGATGGACTACAATTCCCATAATGCCCGCACGGGGCACCGTATAAGGGCACCACGTCCCTCCTGGCCGTGCTAGGGACTACTACAGTACCCAGGAGGCTCTGCTTCTCCTCCTGGGTGTTATTGCCCTTTTCCCGGTGCTGGACGCGGTAGTGGCTAGCGAGAGTGCCAGGCCTAGGGTTTTCTGTGTCCTTCTCCGGGTCAGGGACCAGCCAGTGACTTGAGTCTTGGGCACTAAGCCCGGGAGCGAGTGCAGCAGGCCGCCGTCCCGTCTGTCCGGTTCACGTCACCCTTCGCTCCCTCTCCTGCTCCACCCGCAGCCACTCGGACGGCTCCAGGACTGCCCAGGGCAGGGGTGGCGGTCGCGGCCCCTGGGGCTGAGGCGAGGCTGTGGCTTCGCTCGGAGCGGCTACAGCAGCAGTAGCACTGGGGAGGAAGAGAGAAGATGGCGTCGGAGCTGGAGACCGAGGTGCAGGCCATCGACCAGAATTTGCTGGAATGTTCGGCTGAGGAGACCGCGGGGGTGAGTGTCGGGACCCGGGTGGGTACGTCTGGCCCTGGCAGGCCGCGCCCCGGGGGAGGAACCGACGCCTGGAAGTCCCAGAGTGGCCCGGCCTAGACTTGGGGTAACAACTGTGCCGGCCTCGCCTTTTGGGGTAACGACCCGGGAACGCCACCAATCCTGCCCTTCTCTTTCCATCTTCAGTAGCCCTTAGAGCTGTGCTGTGCACCAGCCACCTCTACGTTCCATTCCTGCCCAGGCAAACCCACAGAACTTCCATTATTTCTCCTTCCTTCCACCCTCCCAGTAAGTCTTCCACACCGGGGCTTTTGCCCTTTATACCAGGTCTTGGAAGAGGGGAAAGAAAGAGACGCTTCCTAGTGTTTTTGGTAATTGCTCTACTTTATCTTCCTGATTTTCTCCCCTAAAATAGGCGGAGTAGCGCCTTCTCCGCCGAAACATGCTAACCGAGCCCCTACTTTGTTTCTGGGACTGCCCTAGGCACCAAGGATGCAAACGACACCGCTGTCCCTCATTACCCACTTTAAGCGCTTCCTCCTCCCCCGACCAGTTTGGTTAGTTGATGCATGTGTGGAAAGTTTACCGAGTTTGAGAAAGTAGTAGCGGAAGCTGGGAGATTAAACAAATAATTTCTCTAGGAGTTGGGGGTAGTTGGATAGAGAACAAACGTTATATAACATTGATAAAGCAGCTTTCAACAAATATTGCATAAGCTAATAACGTGAGAGTTGGTCGCAGTATAGTAGGAGCCCCAAATAAGCCATTCACACCCAGTATTTTGCTAAAACAGTAATATGAATATGCTAGAAGTAGCAGAGTTGTAAAATGATTAATAAACTCGAGGACATCACTCCCCGGAAAGGACAGGGAACACCTGTCCTTTAGAACAGATTGTCCAGAATGATTAAGAATGGACCAAAACAGCTTGGGCCCCATCTCTAAGGCCTCCAGTTTAAAACGCTGCTAGGAAGAGAGTGACACATGAAACAAGTCAGCAATCTGAATGTTATGAACAAAATTTGGGGTGGGGCGCACCGTGGAGCTGTTGGTCAGTGAGTTGATAAGGGCACTAAAGTCTGGGTGGAAATAATTGACAAGAGTGGAAGTGAGAAGCTTAAAGAAGTAAGTTGATAGGTCATGAGTCTTTGCTTGTTTTGTTGGATTTTTTAAAAACTGACTTGTCTAGGTCTGTTTTCCTTTACTTTCTACTTATTATTGCACAATCCTGGGATTTTCAGCCCCCATCTGCCTTTCATTTATCAAAGAGATTTGAGAAAGAAAATGAAAATAGTGTTACAAGTAAACAGTGAAATAATAATAATGACAGCTGTTCGCTCTCCATGTCCCTTCTAATTGATATTTAAACTGCTCTTTACCTTATGGTACTGTAATTTGTTTTCTTCCTCTGAATTTTGTGTCTGCTGGCCCAGTGATATAGATACATCTCCCATTATCCGTTTTCTATTAATAAAAAAGGTGCAAACTATCAAGTGATTAGGGGTTCTTCAACTTGTTGAGGTTCCTGAGGAAACCAGTTATAAAACTAGTGCTGAAGGCCAATGCCCCTAGTTCTTGTGCAGTGAAATTCTCAAACAGATATGTTGGGAAAAATGAAGGGAAATGCAACAAAACATTATTAATTGAGACTTAATTTGAGTATGCAAAGATCACAGTGTGAGTTACATTTTACTTTTACACTGTTTTTACTTTTAAATGGCTTTCTGAACGATAAGATTTAAAAAAAACAGTCTGAAGGTCAATAAAATTTTTTCAGATAAAGAAGATGCAAACTAATAATAAAATATGTAACTGTAACATGGCCTTACTTTGTAAGGAGTTTACTATCTACAGTTAGAATGCCAAACGCTTCAAACTGTTCTTTCAGCTTAGGCTCCAGCCCAGCTCTTTATCACAAATTAAAATGTATTACTGAAGTTTTCTCTCTGATTAAAAGTAAATTTTAGAGAAGATAAACAAGTAGACAAAGCAATTATTGCAAGCTTTAGGCTTTTGTTAATTAGTAATTTGTTAGGATCACTTCCATTTAAAATTACCTAATGTAATTATCTTTACCATATTTTATTTATACACTGATTTTCTTTTTTTTTTTTTTTTTGACCAGCCTGAGCAAGAGCGAGACCCCGTCTCCACTATAAATAGAAAGAAATTAATTGGCCAACAAATATATATAAGAAAAAAAACTAGCCGGCATGGTGGGCATGCCTGTAGTCCCAGCTACTTGGGAGGCTGAGGCAGGAGGATCCCTTGAGCCCAGGAGTTTGAGGTTGCTGTGAGCGAGGCTGACGCCACGGCACTCACTCTAGCCTGGGCAACAAAGTGAGACTCTGTCTCAAAAAAAAAAAAAAAAAAAAATTCAGAAGCTAGTATCACCTCTGGTTAAGAAAAAGAAATCAATCACCATATATAAAACATTATTAGTAAAACAAGTATTTCATTCTAAATATTGTTTTATTAAATATTATAAATTATTAAAAAAACAAAATCTGGTTCAGGAAAGGCAAGCATATGTTCCTCATCTTTAAAAAGTTTAATACAATTATATGAAAAATTCAAAACCACCTAACTCCACAGCACTTTAACCTTATTAAACTTACATACTTAATATATAAAGTTCTCAAAATATGAAATCTACAGTTTTTCAATATTAGTTCTCACTAACATATGCTAACTGTAACTTTCTTCAACACAAAATTACTGATATTTCTAATTTGGTTACATTTTAATTTGTCCTTATTTCAGACACGTGTAGCTGACATGATGTGCACAAGAGAGTAATAAACATTCCATATCTTATTAGTAAGTCCCTCACAAGGGAAGTAAAGAAACTGTCAACCTCATTCCTCTAAAGTAAACATGTTATGACAATGTTCCTGGAGCTTTCCTTTTACTGAATGCTAATTGAAGGCTTGGAATAGAAAGCTGAGTTATACAATAAAACAAAATGAAAGACTCCCTAGAGGTTAGCCTTTTATTACTATATCTGATTACTATTCTATACCAAATTAAAATTGTATCCTTTAACATGTTTGGTTTTGCTTTCAAACAAAGATAAGCAATATGTAAATTAATCATAAAACAACAATCACTAGTGCTCAAAGAGTTTTCAGGACTATATAGAGAAAAAAAATAAACAAAATTTTATTAAGAGCTCTACAAATGAAGGAAAGCACTTACAAATAAAAATAATAGAAACCTAATAGACAAAAAGCCTAATTAAAAATTGGCAAAGAAGACATACAAATGGGGGGGGTGGGGGCTGGCTCACGCCTATAATCCTAACACCCGGGAGCCGAGGCAGGTGGATCAGTTGAGCTCAGGAGTTCGAGACCCAACCTGAGCAAGAGCGAGACCCCATCTCTACTAATAAAAGAAAATTATTTTTTGTAGTTGTCCAGCTATATATATATATAAATAAAATGTTAGCGGGCCATGGTGGTGCATGCTTGTAGCCCCAGCTACTGGGAGGCTAAGGCAGAAGGATCGCTTGAGCCCAGGAGTTTGAGGTTGCTGTGAGCTAGGCTGATGCCACAGCATTCTATCCCCCACCCCCCAAAAAGAAGATATACAAATGGTCAATAAGCTCATGAAAAGATGTTCAACATCATGAGTCATGAGGGAAATGCAAATCAAAACCACAATGAGAAAGCACTTCACACCCAACAGAATGGCTATAATCAAAAACACGGGCAATAGCAAGTGTTGGCAGGGATGTAGAGAAACTGGAACCCTCATACACTGCTGGTAGTAATGTAAAATGATGCAGCTGCTTTGGAAAAGTCTGGCAGTTCCTCAAAGGAGTTAACATGATGACCAGAATTTCCACCTCCAGATATATACCCAAGAGAAACAAAAACATATGTCCACACAAAAATTTGTAATGAATGTTCATAGCAGCATGATTCATAATACCTAGAAAGTGGAAACAAACCAAATATCCTTCAACTCATGAATGGATAAATTAAATGAGGTATATCCATATAATGGATATCATTTGGCAATAAAAAAGAGTGAAGAGGTCTGGATGGTGGCTCACACCTGCAATCCTAGCACTTAGGGAGGCTGAAGATTTTGTTTGAGCCAGGAGTCAAAAAACAGCCTGGGAATTAGTGAGATCCAGCCTCTACAAAAAATATAAAAATTAGCTCAGCATGGTGGAGTGTGCCTATAGTCCCAGCTACTCAAGAGGCCGAGGCAAGAGGATTGTTTGAGCCAGGAGTTTGAGTTCCAGCGAGCTATGATGATGCCACTGCACCCAACCACAGCAACAGACAGAGACACTCTCTCAAAAAAAAAAAAAAAAAAAAAAGGAAAAAAGAAAAGGATGAACAGGAAATGCTCATTGAAGCATTTTGGATTCAGATTAGGGCTGCTTAATTGGGTACAATGCAAATATTTCAACATCCAAAAATCCAAAATCCAAACATTCTGGTCCCAAGCATTTCAGATAAGGGATACTCAATTTGTACATTCTATTAAAATAACAAAGATGAACCTTGAAAATATTATGATGAAAGAAAGAAGCCACTGTATTAGATATTAGATTCTGTTTATATGAAAATCCAGAATAGGCAAATGTATGGAGACAAAAATAGATTCATAGTACTTAGAGGTGGGGAGTTTAGGGGAGAAAATGGGAAGTGACTGCTAATGGGTACAGGATTTCTTTTGGGGGCAATGAAAATGTCCTAAATTATTGTGGTGATGGTTGTACAACTCTGTGAATACACTAAAAACCACTGAATTGAATTATACAGTACATGAGTTATATCTCAATAAAACTTTTAGATTTAATGCAAAACAACCAATACAGACATAAAACTCTAACATAAAACTTCTACCACAATTTTTATTTGATTTTATATTTGGGAAAAACAATGTATATATTCTTAGATCATAATCATCAAACTGGTACATATCATAACATATATAGTATGGAATGT